GGTGGGAGTTGGGGAAGAATGTCATGCATTGCTGGGTCACTAGAAGGGACTCCCAGTCATTAGTGTTGTTGTAATGATGGAAGGTCCTAAGTTTCAGCATGTTTTGATGACCAGATCTATGGACCTTTCTGGCACTCGAACTTTGCCTTTCTGAGAGTCGAACACAAGAAACAGAGGATGGGACAAGTAGTTTAAACCCTGCTAAGGCTGGAGGTCAAGTTTCTAAAATGAGGAGTTCTTTAAATGTAGAAAGAAAGCATGGTTAGACTATTTAAGTAAGACGAACTAGTCAAGTCCACTTCCTGGTGATCTCCTGGTGAACGGAATATGAGATGTCTAGAGCCAGGAATCCAGTCACCTGCTCAGCCCAGTGCCTGGCACCTCGTACTTCATACTGATGTCGGTAAAACAAGGAGGCAGAAACTAATCAGCTAGGACAGGGACTCCAACGCGGTTCTGAAGACATCTTTGCTGGAGGTCAGGAACACCCAAAGAGAGTTCTACTTCCTGGCCCCTGACTACCTTGCCTTTAAGCTACACATGAGGACATGACTGGAACTGAGAGAAGACACCTGGACTGGCCAGCTCATCCCTCTCCCACATCTCACTATAGTTGGTACCTTAAGACCCTCACAAGGCCCCAAAGTAGTACCTTTATGTTATCTATTCCCAGAGACCTGCCCCTGCTACACAGGGGCAGGGTCCCCTAACTTCCCACCTATGCACCTATGACAGGCTTATCTCTAAAACTCACCCTTTGGCATCCATACATTTTATGCTTTGAATTCCAGAGGCAAGAACTTGAAAGCCACTGGGTGGGGGAGCAGCTTTTGTGACTGTTTAGTTTTCTAGGTCTCTGGTCTGTTCTCCAAGTGTATCCTTCTAAGAGGCCTTTTAAGTAGAGTTATTAAGCCAGGGGTGGTAGCTGATGCTTATAACCCCAGCACTCGAGAGAACGAGGCAGGAAATTATCATGAGTTCGTGACCAGGTTGGGTGATGTAGTGAGTTCCAGGCCATCCTGGGGTATAGAGTGAGACTTTGTCTCAAACAAAACCAAACAAACAAGATGAACATCGTTATTAAAAATGTAAAACACACATCTTATTTTCTTATCTTTAAATTTTTATTTTATGTGTAAGGGTATTTTGCCTATGTGTGTCTGTGCACCACGTGCGTGCTTGGTTCCTACAGAGAACAGAAGTTAGATCCCCTGCAAATGGATAGTTGTAAGTTGCCATGTGGGTGCTGGAAAGGAAACCTGGATCTTCTGGACAAGGAGTCAATGTTCTTAACTACTGAGCCGTCTCCAGCCCTGTCAACAAGTAATTGCTATGAATTACGTGTGTGGGGGGGAGGGGCGCTGTCTGAGGTAAGGATGATATTTTAAGAGAAAGGAAGCCCTGACTCTTCTCTAGTTTTTTTTTTCTTCTTCTCTTCTCTTTGGGGGGAAAGAACAGAGACCAAAGAAAGCAGAGCTGAAGAGGTGAAGTTATGGGATGGAGCCTGGCTTAATCTGGCTAAACTCAGACTTGTTAGAAATGAAAGTTTACAAGGCTGTGCTATCTGCCTTCCTCTTCCTTGTTCGCTCTTCCACGGTCTCCCCCCATGA